ATTTTCCCCCACACTGATATTGGTATGCCAGCACCATGTTGAATATGCTTTCTTTTTCCATCATATATTTTTTGGTTCTTTGACAAAATTCAGGTGTAGTAGGTGAGTGGATTGATATCCGATTCTTAGAATCAGTTCCATTGGTCCTCCTGTCTGTTTTTGTGCCAATACCAGGCTCTTTTCAGTACTGTAGCTCTGTAGTAGACTGAAGTCAGGGAATGTGATGACTCCAGAAATTATTTATTGTATACAGTTGTTTTGGATATCCTACATTTTTTTTGCTTCTCTATATGAAGTTGAGTATTTTTATTTTGAGGTCTGTGAAGAATTTTTCTGATGTTTACATGGGAATGGTATTGAATCTGTAGATTGCTTTTGGAAAGGTTTTCATTTTTACTATCTATCTATTTATTTATTTATTTACTTATTTATTTGGTTTTTTCGAGACAGGGTTTCTCTGTGGCTTTGGAGCCTGTCCTGGAACTAGCTCTGTAGACCTGGCTGGTCTCAAACTCACAGAGATCCGCCTGCCTCTGCCTCCCGAGTGCTGGGATTAAAGGCGTGCGCCACCATCGCCAAGCCATTTTTACTATCTTGAGTTCTACCTAACAAGGGCAAGGGACATCTTCCCATTCTGTGGTGTCTTCTTCGGTTGTTTTCTTCAAAGATTTAATGTTCATTTCCTACAGTACTTTCACTTGTTTAGTAAGTTGTTCCATAATATTTTATATTATTTCTGGCTATGGTTAACAGTGATGTTTCCATAATATATTAATTCTAGCCATCTTTTTCAAAAAATATTCCTTGTAACCACCTTCTATCACCTACCTTCCTGATGACCATTTCCAATCTTCTGATAACCATAATTATACCCCAACTTCTAAGGGAATTTTTAAACAAAACATACAAGGAAATGTATGAGAGATTTGACTCTTCAAGCCTCTCGTATTTCAGTTAATGGTATCCTGTGGGCTTAAAAACATCATTGAATTTAATGATTTTATGGTTCTGGTTTGACAGCCAAATTTTGTTTCTTTCACTGGACCTTTTTATTTTTTTATATTTATTTATGTATACAATATTCTGTTTGTGTTTATGCCTGCTGGCCAGAAGAGGGCACCAGACCATGTGGTTGCTGGGAATTGAACTCAGGACCTTTGGAAGAGCAGGCAATCCTCTTAACCACTGAGCCATCTCTCCAGCCCCCCACAGGCCGCTTTTTAATGTTTTGGCTGTTTTCAGGGAGTTTTTTTTTTTTTTTACCTAGTTCTAGATTCAGAGTTAAGGTGCTTTTCTTTGGCTCTGGTTTCAGGCCCAATGTTAGAATACCCTTGCTGTAACCCATAATACTTCATAAAAGGTTTTATGAAATACAATCCTGGTTCAAACTAAAATAAAAAGAGGTATCATCATGCTTAAACAGATTGTGGACACTATCAAATTTTTCTCTACACAATAGCTGCTTTTGGTTAACTAACTGTAAGTGGCTTAAGATCTTAAAGAATAATTTAACATGAGCCCCTAGTTTTTTTCCTCAGGCCCAAAAGATTGTGATAATATGCACAAGCTTTATCAGATTGATTACACACAAAGTCTTACTCTCATATGAAGCATAAAACAATATGACACTGAATTAATTTATAGAGTTTCACTACAGTATGATGTTTTCTCATGTTTTTTGAAGAATAAAGACATTAACTTCAGACTTTCTCTACAGGTAGGCTCATATTATGTATTGAGATGATTGAAGGAGCTGCCGGCCTCTTCGTGCGACCCAGCTTCTGGCTGCCTAGCTAGCTTATGCCCTGAAATAACAACACACAAATGGTATTCAACAAAACACTGCTTGGCCCATTATATCTAGCCTCTTTTAGGCCAATTCTCACATATTAATTTAGCCCATTTCTAATAATCTGTGTAGCACCACGAGGTGTGCTTACCAGGAAAGATTCAGCATGTGTGACCTGGTGGCTGGCTGCATTGAATCTACCCAGGACAGGAGAGGAAATGACATCTGCCTCACTTTCCTCTGCCTCCAAGCATTCTGTTCTGTCTATTCCACCCACCTAAGGGCTGGCCTCAAATGGGGCCAAGGCAGTTTCTTTATTAATCAATGACCTTCCTCCATCATTTCCCCTTTTTCTGTTTAAACAAGAAGGAAAGGCTTTCACTTTAACATGGGAAAATTACATATAACAAAACAGTTACAATTAAGAATTACAATACTTACATCTATTTTATCTTTATCATAACTAAGAAAAACAATAACTCTTCTTCAACTCCATCAAAAACTCCAGAAAGATATAATATTAGCTGGGCAGTGAGAAATAAGCAACTTACAAAACTCTAGAAATCACAGAGACATCTCACTTCCTGGACAGTCACCCAAAGTTCTTCTGTACAGTTGGGGCATCCATCTTCGGCCTACAGGGCCATAGTTTCCAGCAGACATTTCAATGAAGCAGGAAATTTCAAAGGCAGTTCAGTCACTATCTGCTGTGTCCTACAGAATGTCTCGCAGACTCTTTCATGAATCAGGAACCCTGAAAGATCATCTCACATTTAGGCAAGTTCAGCAGTCCTCTCTCTGAGGGTTCTCTGTGCCCAGTTTATGTAGTATTCCGGGCAAGAGCAGTTTCTTGCCCAAATGGCTATCAAACTCCATAAGGAGGCTCTTCAATGCCCATCTTCCTCTTGAAGTAGCTGGTGTTGCCAGGAGCAGATGTGTCTCATTGACATGCAAAACCCTAAGTTACTAAAATATTTTAAATGCCATATTCTGCAGTCTTTGAAGAATATGAAGAATGCCTATCTAAAATATATCTATGCACATCTAAAAAAATCTAACATGAATAGAAACTTGACTATCATAGATGATTATCTATTAACAACTTATATACATTACATTTTTAAATAAACTACACAATCACAATACCTTAATCAATATCAGAAATATATATACACACATAACAAAATTGACCTTAAATTAGTATCAGTAAAGCAAGATCCATTTCAATCCAAATTATTTATATCTATATTATATCACCCTTTAAATGTAAAAGAACATTTATAAATAATATTTGGGAATATGGATGTAGTTATTTCTCTCCAAACTGCTTCCTGCTGTATAGGGGCACTGTTAATCAGGTCTTTGAGGGTATAACCTGTGTGCTAGATTTGTCTCAGTTAGCAGATAAACAATTTTCTGAAGGTGTTCACAGCAACCTTTCAGGAGGGCGTGGTCTATCATACCATATTAGAATAGAAGCAATCCATAGGGTCTTATCCTGTGAAAACAAAAGAAGAATCTCTTTTCCAAAGTATCATATCCTTAGATCCAAATTCTGAAGTCAAGGTATTTTCAAAATATCTATCTTGGATTAGTTCAGCAGCATTTATAAACAAATATCTTTTAGCAGATGTTGCTTTTTCCTCACCATTAAAATAATTCAAAGAGAGTACAATAGCATACAGTATCAAGATTCTCTGTGTATTTTCCATCTTTGTGTGGTTTTACTTTAACCTCTATTTCATTTATTTTTACTTTTATTTTATATTCTCTGTATATCTTTGCCCTGGAATAACTGTAGACCAGGCTGTCCTTGAACTCTCAGAGATCTGCCTTTCTCTGCCTCCCAGGCATTGGGATTAAAGGCGTGTAATACCACACTTTGAAGTCACAGAAGTCAATCTCCCTCTGCCTCCCAAGTGTTGGAATTAAAGGTGTGTGCTACCACACCCAACTACTCTCTTTCTTCCCTTTTATTTGTTTTTTATTTTAAGAACTTTAACTTTTAGCCTGCATATATTCTTAACACACTGTAAATCATTTAAAGGTTTTCTTTGTTTTTGAATCTCTCTTTACTATATATCTCCCTCTCTTTTTCTGACCACATGAGCTTTTAAACTACTGAGCAATATGGGCAAGATTAAAGCCGTGGCTTTGGCGGCTAGATCCAGCCTTAGCTTTCAGCTTCATGGTTGAGGTACCAGCGGTAGCCATGTTTATTGCCACAAGTCTATGGCATTTCAAGGTCCCTGCCAGCAAGCAAGCTGAAGCATTCTGCTCCCAGACCACACTCAGTCAACTGCCTGCCTGAAAGAGTCAGAGTCTGCCCTGGCAGGACAGCCCAGAAGGGGGCATTTTAAAATGGCACTTTTTCCTGCTACTGCTGAAAACAAAGAAGCATTCAGTTGGCTTTTATCAACACCATTTAAGTGTTTCTTGGCAGGACCTCTTAAGAGCTGCAGGGTTTTGCAGCTAAAGCTCAGTCAGGAAGCCTCTCTTAAATGAAAGTGCTTGCTTGCCTCAAGCAAGCAGAGCATAATGAGAAATTGCTGCTACCAAGAAAACATGCTTTATTCTTTCCCAAGCTTTCTCAGGCTTTATGTGGAAGCAGTTGTCCACATAGAAACCATTCTGTTGAAGGAGCTGCGGGCCGCTTCCTGCCACCCAGGTCCCGGCTGCCTGGCGAGTTTGGGCCCCAAAATAACAACACACAAATTGTATTAATTAAAACACTGCTTGGCCCACTATGTCTAGCCTCTTCTAGGCTAATTCTCACATATTAATTTAGCCTATTTCTAATCTGTGTAGCACCAAGAGGTGCGCTTACCGGGAAAGATTCAGCATGTCTGCCCTGGTGGCAGGCTGCATTGCATCTTCCTCAGACAGGAGAGGAAATGATGTCTGCTTCACTTCCCTCTTCCTTCAGGCATTCTGTTCTGTCGACTTCACCCACCTAAGGGCTGGCCTATCAAATGGGCCAAGGCAGTTTCTTGATTAACCAATGACCTTTCTCCACCTACCACAAATTCCATTCATCAATATCTCTACAGTAGGTGTTATTTTATGCCTTTCAAGAGTACAGGGGTTCTGTAAAGGCCTTACCACACTGATTTCACTCATAAGGTTTCTTTCTAGTGTGCATTCTTTTATGAATGTGAAGACTATTTTCATATTCAAAGGTCTTAATACACTGATTGGATTCATAGGGTTTCTATCCAATATGTGATCTTTTATGCCTTTGAAGTTGACTATGGTGTGCAAAGGCCTGACCACACTGATTACATTCATAGGGTTTCTCTCCAGTATGTGTTCTTTTATGGCTTTGAAGATTACTGTGAACTGCAAAGGCCTTAGCACACTGATTACATTCAAAGGGTTTCTCTCCAGTATGTGTTCTTTTATGCACTTGAAGATGACTACGACGTGCAAAGGCCTTAGCACACTGATTACATTCATAGGGTTTCTCTCCAGTATGTGTTCTTTTATGTTTTTGAAGAGCACTGTTGTCAGCAAAGGCCTTAGCACACTGATTACATTCATAGGGTTTTTCTCCAGTATGTCTTCTTTTATGCAATTGAAGGTTACCTTGTTGAGCAAAGGCCTTACCACAGTGATTACACTCATAGGGTTTCTCTCCAGTATGTGTTCTTTTATGGTTTTGAAGAGAACTGTTGTCAGCAAAGGCCTTAGCACACTGATTACATTCATAGGGTTTCTCTCCAGTATGTGTTCTTTTATGTTTTTTAAGAGCACTGTTGTCAGCAAAGGCCTTAGCACACTGATTACATTCATAGGGTTTTTCTCCAGTATGTGTTCTTTTATGCAATTGAAAATTACCTTGTTGAGCAAAGGCCTTACCACAGTGACTACACTCATAGGGTTTCTCTCCAGTATGTGTTCTTTTATGTTTTTGAAGAGAACTGTTGTCAGCAAAGGCCTTAGCACACTGATTACATTCATAGGGTTTCTCTCCAGTATGTCTTCTTTTATGGCTTTGAAGTTTACTGTAAACTGCAAAGGCCTTAGCACACTGATTACATTCAAAGGGTTTCTCTCCAGTATGTGTTCTTTCATGCACTTGAAGATGACTACGACATGCAAAGGCCTTACCACACTGATTACATTCATAGGGTTTCTCTCCAGTATGTGTTCTTTTATGTTTTTGAAGAGCACTGTTGTCAGCAAAGGCCTTACCACACTGATTACACTCAACGGGTTTCTCTCCAGTATGTGTTCTTTTATGAGTTTGAAGAACACTGTATTGAGTAAAGTCTTTACCACACTGATTATATTCATAGGGTTTCTCTCCAGTATGTGTTCTTTTATGCGTTTGAAGATGATTGTGATGAAGAAAGGTTTTATCACATTGCCTAATTTTAGAGCATTTTTCTCCGGTATGTGTTTTTTTATTCCTTAGAAGATGAGTGTTATAACACAAGGCTTTAGCACAGTGAGAATATACGGAAAACGTCGCTCCAGTTTGATTTCTTTCAATCCTGCAAGGATAATTTATGCATATAAAAGTTTCACCACATTCAATGCACTGTTAAACCTCATCTCTATATGAATTAACTTCATATTTTTTCCAATTGTAAAAAGGCATCAAACATTATGGTTCTATAACTTTGTTTTAAATCATGGTTTGTTTACCCATTAGGGGTCATTTTGCATCTCAAAAAATATTTGTAATGATAATTGCCTTTCTGCAATGGTTTACATTTTCATCTATACCTATATTTTTCTATTATATTTTTTACATTTTTGAAGAGAACTGCATACACTGAGTGCTTTACCAACTTTACTACATTTATAAATTTTACTATATCGTGAATCATTATACATTTGCTAAGTGAACTAAGACACCTAAAATATTTGCACAGACCTAGAACTCATCGTGGTTTTTTCACAATGTGATTTTATGTATTAACAATGATGGTAGAAAATGAATTAACTTTGCATTTTTGTATCAAACTCAATAAGTATACTCTACATTGGAACTACATTTTATCTTCATAATTGTTCTTAAGGAGAGGTATGCTAAATATTTCCATATCCCTATGCTCATACTCTTGTGTCAAGAGTAACATATGAAATATATGAAATATATGTAATATAAGAAAGGAAGAATAGTCAATAAAAGATTTCCACATTGAATCCTCACGGTTTGACTTTCTTTTCCTCAGACTTGTGGTATAGATACCAAGATTTCTCCACAACATCTGCCCCTTGATCCTTGACTCCAAGAGCTGCTTTCATTAAACTTAACACAGTCACAAAAACTATTTGAGTAATACAAGGCTTACCATGGGCTATTGATTTAGTAGGAAGTTTGGCAGCTATATTCATCATCACTGAAATGTGTATACATTTTCTGTCATGAGTAACAAGAAACAAATGGACTGGTAGATGTATAATATAATTCTCATGGTTAATGGTAAAATCTGTATAGTCATTGCTTCCTTGACTTTTTCTTAAATGAATGCCTTGCAAATGCAATTCACATACAGGAAATTGAGCTATATGGATTTGTGAGAATTTAATAACCATCGATGCATTTAAAGCTGTGCTTATTTACACTGTTGTTTTGTTTAAAAGTGTCATAACACATTATAAACTCATCAGAGGCACATTGTTATAAACTTGCATAAGAAAATTACCTTGGGGGGCTGGAGAGATGGCTCAGTGGTTAAGGGCACTGGCTGCTCTTCCAGAGGTCCTGAGTTCAATTCCCAGCAACCGCATGGTGTTTCACAGCCATCTGTAATGAGATCTGGCGCCCTCCTCTGGCGTGTGGGCATATATGGAGGCAGAATATTGTATACATAATGAATAAATAAATCTTTAAAAAAAAAAAAGAAAATTACCTTGCATGGCTTCTACACCATTGACAATGTTCTTCAGTGTTATAGTCTTCCCAAATGTATCCTAAAGTACAGTACCAAAATATGTATGTTATATTTTTTAACACTGTGAAATAATTAGCTTATTATCCTAAGAACAATGACTGTGTTATTCACCTCATTCTCCTTCTTTCTAAATCAAATTACAGAACAAAATCATAAACCAACGAAAAGTTGTCTCCATATTTTGAAACATGAAAGAAATTTATTTTTACTGATAGTAGTGAGGTTCCTGTAGGTCTCCAGCATCACATCTTTGTAGAGATTCTTCTGGGAAGCATCCAGCAAATCCCACTCTTCCTTAGTGAATATGATATGCACATCATCATAGGTCACTGCCTTCAAAAATATACCACACGTGTGTACAATGTAAGCATGACAGTAGCAACATTGGAATGCATACTTCTTTGACAGTACAGTTGTATGATTCTGGTGTTATCCACTCTTATTCCATGACATAGACAGTTACTTTAGAATGAAATTTAAAAGTAGAGTAAATTTTATCTCTATATCCTTTGTACCACCTTATAAGAGAAATATCAATTCATAAGGAGAGAAAATCAGAAAAGCTGAACAGTACATTGCATGCATGAGAATATTGTACAAAAAAATTACTGACTACAGAAAGGAAAAAAAGATGGACAAACTGGGTGTATTGAAGTATTGTGCCTTTTACCACAACACTCAGAAAACAGAGGTGGGAATCTTTGTCTCTGAGTTGAATGCCAGTCAAGTCTAAGCAATCAGGTCCAGGAGAGGTGGAAATACACATTGAGACCCTGTTTCCATTGTAAACTGGAATGAAACAAAGAATGGTATACAAAGATCTGAAAGACTTTTATTGAACTTCCCACAAAGAATTGTTTTCACTCCAGTTAATGACTCAGAATACTCAGGCAGTATTAATGTTATGAATACATGGCATCTTGGCAATCAGAGTGATGCCCTCTGTCAATTTTTAAAATTCAAGAAATTATGAAGCTCAGCACAGCAGCATATACTTGACATAAAAAAATACCTACATTCTAGCACCATCATCCAATACCATAAAAACAAATAGAGCCAGGAATGATGCCTCCAATTAGTTACAGGAATTGAGAGCCACACAGTTACTCAGATAGGCAAACAAAACAATTAAAACAGCAGGTTACCAAAGTCCTGAGGACTGAATAACAACTGTTTCTGCTATCTTTTATGTGCTTTAGAGATCAAGCCTATAATGATGTTGAAAGCATTTCAGTATAAGTAGGAAGCTGGCTGATTAATGTCAAGCACAACACAGTAGATTTAAATGTCAGGAAATTACTTGAAGGTATTGAGATTCATTGGATACAATGAGGAATTTCATATAGAAGGGCTTCTTCTCCTACTAAAGATCCACAGAAAACTGAAAGAAAACCACTATGGAGAGAAACTTGTTGAAATACATGATCTTTTCTGGGAGGTTGTTCATTCAGTCAAGTACAATGTGAACCCGGTTTCTATTATTTCATGGTCAACAATGGAAAAAATTCATTTAGTCATTTCAATGATTCCCATTTAGTGTTTCTTGAAGAAGGATGCTTTAAAGAAATACAACACCAGCTCAGAATTGAGAAATAAATGTATACTTATTTAGGGATGGACTCTTAAATCATAATCTTATGCTTGAACAGAGATCAGAATCTGAATCACACAGCCAGAAAAGCGGCCCAACTCATGCTCTACATTGACAAGTATAGTATAAGATGCCACGCCCCAATGGGCGGGAAACCACTCGCTGTAATTCTTTCTACAGCATCTCCCCCTTTTGTATAAATAAGAGAGTTTTTTTGTTTGTTTTTTCGAAATAAGAGACTTCTAAGCCCAATACAAAATTATATACAATAAGAACAATATATTCAACAATTTTCCCATCCTAACTAGTTTAATTCTTCTTTAATAAATAATTTGGACAAGTCATGAGAGCAAAGTAACTACAACTATCTAGTTTTCAACCCCATTGAATGTGAGAAGGGAAATATTACTTGAGTAAGCAGAAAGTGCAATCAAGCAACTTTTCAAAATGTGCAACAGGGCAGGAGAGATGGTTCAGAGGTTAAGAGCACTGACAGCTCTTCCAGAGGTCCTGAGTTCAATTCCCTGCAACCACGTGGTGGCTCAGAGTCATCTATGGTGAGATCTGGTACCCTCTTCTGGCAAGCATACATGGAAGGAATGTTGTATACATAATAAATAAATAAATCTTTTTAAAAAAAACAAAATGTGCAACAAATTACAGAGATAACTGGCTACCTGGGCAATCATGCAAAGTCTCATTTGCAACATTGAAGGGACCAACATTTGCTAAGACCTAGAATAACTGACAGATCATTTTCAGAGGTAGAAAATATTTCAAAATCATCTTACCCTGTCTTGTCAAGATTTAACAGACTTGTTTATCCATATTCAGACACCTTCTATCTTTTCAGTAGTTGAGGCATGAGCATGGTTTTGCCCAAAAGACAGTTTTGCCAAGAAAAAAAGAAGCTCCAAGTGGAGCGCTTTCAGTGCTCAATATTCTCTGGGGGAATACATAAATGCTACCAGAAGCAATAGTGCCTCACTTCAACAGAACTCTAAGTTAGTTAAATGCCATATTCTACAGTTCTTTGAAGTGGTTGAGGATTACCTATCTATGCAGAATATAATCTCTACTTATCTAAAGAACCTGATTATTCGAACTATAAGTATGACAAACATAGATTACAATTGATCTATAATTTTTAATACTTATCTAACTTAAAGACTAAGATTTCACATGAGAATATTATACAGTATTGCAACAAATGAGGACAATGACCTCAAAATGTAAACAATGTATAGGTATCTTGATCAGTGGTAGAAATGTACATTGCAATATGATAAATATGTATCAATATATAAAACATTTTAAGGAGAGGTAGAAGCATGAATGCATATAATATTCAATATGACTTAACATTGTATCAATATATAAGAATCTATACAAATGCAATTGCCTATAAATTATAACACACAAGCATTCACTCTATTACTCACTATTATTAGTGTGTGTGAGCTCACACTAATCTATTATTTCATCCAATTTTCCCTTTTTTTTTTTCAAAGAGATCCCGAGCCTTTAAAATTTCACCTCGCCCCAGGCGGTGGTCACGCATGCCTTTAATCCCAGCACTTGGGAGGCAGAGGCAGGCGGATCTCTGTTAGTTTGAGACCAGCCTGGTCTACAAGAGCTAGTTCCAGGACAGGCTCCAAAACCACAGAGAAACCATGTCTCGAAAAACCAAAAAAATAAAAAATAAAATTTCCCATCCAACCCACAATCCTATACCAATTATAACCAACCCCTAAATGATGTCCCTAACCCTGAGTACAAACGTTGCTGGGAGAGGAGAGGAAGTCTTTTAGAATTACTCCCAGCCGGGTGATGGTGGCATAGGCCTTTAATCCCAGCACTCGGGAGGCAGAGGCAGGAGGATCTCTGTGAGTAGAAGACGAGCCTGGTCTATAGAGCAAGTTCCAGGACAGGTTCCAAAGCCACAGAGAAACCCTGTCTCGAAAAACCAAAAAAGAATTACTTCCAGCTGTCATGGGGGCGATGTTCTTTCTTTGGGATCCTTTTAAAGGTAAAATGATGGTTAAGTTCCAAGATTACTGTCTGGTATAATTGCATATAGTCTCACTATTTGGTAAGGTTTTTCTGACCTTCCTATAAGAAGGTCAATCCAGAACATTGTAAAAAGTATACCATTTCAGCTAACTAAGATGGAACCATCTTGAGCATCTGGTACTCAAAACAGATCTTATAGTAGTGCTATTATCATCCTGATGTAATAATATCAACCAGGTAGACTAGTTGTGGGGCCCCATCTTCTTCCTGGAAATTTAAAAATTACTGCAGGAAAATCCATTGTTCATCGTGGAAAACTTAAACATTATTTATATAGACATATACAGACATACATATTCAATGGCATGTACAATAGAGACAAAAATAGATATGAAAAGAAGTGAAAATTTTTCCTAATTTTAAAAGTAACTACTTATTTATACATTTTACATTGATATAGATATGGATGCTTCCTTTTGATACAAACTTGACATTATTTTTGTTAAAACATACTGTCTATGATGTTATATTCTTACTCAAGATATTTTACCTAATACAACTCACTTAAACATGCAATGAAAATTTCTAGTCCTCAAAAGTTTTATCATAAACAAATTAGGATATAAAGTACTGCAGGTTAGTAGTTTGTAACTTATTATAATTGAAATTATACTCAATTTAGGTATGTTTTCAACATTATACAGAATTTTATTAGATGATTCAAATGAACATACTTTAGAGAAAATATTTGCTGAAGTAAAGTAAACTTTGTCTCCTTGGCGATTAAAAATATACAGAATATTCTGAAAATATACAAAAAGGAGATTCTATTAATTATTCAGCATGTAAAATACTTTTACAAAAATTTGAGCCCTAAATTTAAAAATTAGGAGAGATTATTTGTGGAATCTTAATAATTTTCTGAAATTGCTGCAAGGCATTTACCATCTATAGTCCACTATTTGGGTAAAAAATTCAAAACAGTAATTAGAACCAAACTATAAAAGGTGACAAAGATTTAAACAGTCAAAGAGAATTATAATCTAAAGCAGAGAAAAAAAATTGGTTTAGTGGAAATAAAGTTATAGGATGCACATACGGATTGTTTGGAACTGAAGTTTGGTTACATTCAAGACATTTTTCTTGATACAGGGTTTTTCTGTAGCCTTGGAACATGTACTTGACGTAGCTCTTGTAGACCAGGCTGGCCTCAAACTCCACCTGCCTCTACCATCCAAATGCTGGGATTAAAGGCATGAGCCACCACCTCATGGTCTTCATTCTAGGCATTTTAACCTCTATGCATTCCCCTATAGGAATTTTACTGCATAGGAATGATATTATTTTAAAATCAATATTGTTACCATATAAACAGACAAAAAGCTATAAAGTTATGTGGAAAAACTCTGCATTGATATTAAAAAGAAAACTGAAACTTCATCTATTAGCAAGAATTGACCAAGGTTAAATTATAGACTGTTTTACTAATGTTAAAATTGAATCATAATGGACAGCAAGTAAACACTGGCAAAGTGCTTGCAGTAACTTCTTGGTAGAGATTAACAACAAATATCTCTTTTGCCATAATATTAATAATCATAATGATCATCCTGAGTCATTTCAGACTTAAGGAAGCCCT